CCCCCCCCCCCCCCCCCCCCCCCCCCTCCTCCACCTAGATTAACCGGATCAGTTTTGGGTTTCAGGATCCCCTATGCTGGCTGCTACGGCGCTCACACACGCACACACAAACACACACACACACACACACAGACACGACAACACAGGCGGTAGGCTGTTTTTTGGCCCATCGTGACGCACTATTGGACCCCTAACCGTCTGGGCTGCCATCTGTCACAATAGAGGAGAGACCAGATACACACAGACGCACTCCAACAACAAATGTTAGTTCTGGTGTACATACGGCATGACTTTATGATGCCTCCATTTTTGTAAACACTGCAGAAGGATGCACATTTATCCTCCCTTAGGTAACTCTGTTTTACCTGCTGAAGTGTCCATGAGCAAGACACAGAGTCTCCTGTTATTACTAATAACCATGAACTAATTTAATACCATTTTTCCGTACTCATCTCTTTATTCTGACAGGCAGAGCTCAGCAGAGTGAATATTTCCCCTTATGCCTGAGGACCTTATCTGTATTTTTAATTTTCTTTCCGCTCATAAGAAGTTTTACTGCTCCTGGGTCCATGAAACTCATTCGAAAAGGTGCAATTGGCGAATCAAAAGAAAGACATTGTGGAGTTTTGTCCAGCAGATGAAAGAGATTCAGATGTCTCTCATCAGCACACTACAGACGACGCCATGTTGACACCAACGGTTGTCACTCGCAGATCCCTTGTATAATCCTGATCTGTGACTATGGGCTTTGTTATATGACTTAGTGCTGCTGATGTAACCCGCCAGCAGCACTTTATCCCTGTGCATCCGCCTGAGTATGTGTCTGTGTGTTCATGTTTTCGTGGCAGCAGATGGTGGGAGCAGTATTACCACAGATGGATGGACAGTGCACAGGGTAGAGTGACTCGTGTTGACTACAGCAAAGATGGCATTACTCTCTCTCTCTCTCTTTCTCTCTCTCTCTTTCCATCCCCTCGGTGTCAGGTGGATGAATGGCCGGCTATCTCTCTCAGTCAGCAGCCATGCCGCTCTTTCATCATCTGTCTCCCTGCTCGTTCTTTCACTCCTCTGTAAAGATGTCAGACTAGTCTATCACTCCCTCCATCCCTCAGTCCATCCATCGTTCTGTCTGTCAGATGAGCATCTAGCTCTCTCTCGCCTCCCCCCCATCAATCCATCCCTCCATCCCTGCTCTCCCTCTCGCTGTGGGTCTGCGTGTTCTCCGACTGAATCTGCATGTGCAGTAGTGTGCTTGTTTGTTTGTTTGTGTGTTTTTCAGTGCGCTCATGGCTACGTGGGCGTGTGTGTTTGTATCTGTGTGTGCCAGATCACTATCCCCCCCCGTCCTCCCCTCCCTCACTGAGTGTGTGTGGTGTGAATCAAGGTCAGTGGGGATCTGTTGGCAGACACTCCCACCAACCCTCCCACCCACACCCCCACACACACCCCCAGATGGTTTGTGTGTATAGTGCCTATCCAGCGATCTAGATGTCCCTGCTATGCCTGCCCCAGCTCAGCTCGGCTCCGTGGATTAATTACTGGGGAACCCACCGCGTCCCTGACCTCCACCGTCGGACTAATTGAAATCTAATTGAATTGTGCTTGTCTAGACTAATGAAGCCCCGCCACTGAAACCGCCAATCTTTTAGCCGTATAGCTGCAGGCCGATAGCCACCCAGCTGCACTGTGGCCACTGCACTGTGCCGCTCAGTTTGGATGGATGGATATGTGAACAGATGAACAAATGGGTGGATGGATGGATTTGTAGTGGCTCGGGTTGCTAAGTGGAAAGACACACTTCATATGTTTTGTGACTTAAGATACTTGAGTCGACAGTGTCACAGGTATTGTGAACTCGTAAAGTTGAGTAAATCCTTTTCCAACCAAAATATATCCCGATCTTACATCATCATATCAAAGCTGCATTTTGAATCGTTGCTGGTCCTAAATCATGGTGAAAGGAAACTTAGTCAGAGTTGGTTATCTTGAGAAACAATTAAGAGCACTCTTGATTTTTTTTAAATGATTCAACTGAAAAACCCAGCCAAGTGTTGCAAACTCTTTTCCAATGAAAGTAGCTAGAAGCACTAGATCCAAAAGGTGCTAAATCTAGTGAGAAAGTTGCCAAGTCGGCAACACTTGACAGCCCATCCCCTCAGGCCTCCCTCCAAAGCCCTCCCACAAAATTATCATAATGCAGATCATGCCTTCGCCATAGCAGGATTCATAATGTACCGTCTGGGCTGCACAGAGGAAGAATCACTTGCCCACCACTGCAGGGATCAGGGTCCTGTTCTCAGCTGTGGTGCTTTAGATTTGGCGGGGTGCACCAATCATACAGTGGACAGCTTTTGCAGAGTGGGATGCTAATGACATGTCCTTGTCTTTGCACTAGAAGCGTCAGAGGGGGAGGTCTGATGTAGGAGGGATAGTGTGAACCTCAATACTTGTGCCGCGGCTGATCACCGACAGGTGATAAGAAGTGACTAAAAAGAAGTGGCAGAGACACCTGGCAGTCTGCATCCCCCTCTGGCTAACAGCGGGAGTCCCACACTGCAGGGGAAATCTGCTAATCCAAATTGGGAGAAGATACTTCCTATGTAAAAATCTCCTCTGAGAATCCACAAAAAAAACCTCAACCACTTCTGCTTACTCTAGATTTTCCGGACTACAAACTAAGCCCCATTCCCAAACATAAACAGCATCAAAAATCAGTGCCCCTTGTTTCTAAAACCCCATTAAGATTATGGAGGAAGAGGGCGGCTGTCGAAAGCGCTGTAGACTGACATGGAGGGCTGGCGGTGGAGGTAGGGGAGTGGACCCCAGGGAGCTGCTTATTTTGTTGGGCCTTCTTTAGCTTTTAGTAGGTGAGAGACGGTGCTGTGATTCCCTATAAGTTATTCATTTGACGTTTCCTCCCTTCTCAGCTCTTTGTAGGTTGGAATACATTAGCAACCTGGCAGAGTGGAGAGGATGGTAATGTGGAAGAGAAGGAGAGCAGAGGAAGAAAGGGTGGGGGTTGTGGAGGGAAGGAGGAGAGTCATTAGAGGAGGAGGAGAACAGAGAGAGAGAGAGAGAGAGAGAGAGAGGACACGGCTTTATGATGTGTGGGAAGGGGAAGTGACCTTCCCTCTCACTTTCATCTTGGTTTTTTTCTCCCCTCGCCGCGCTCCCTGACACACACACCGACACACACACACACACACACACACACACACACACACACACACGTTTCAACACCTGCTTGCGTGCACACACACTTCACCGTATGGCTTATGCAGGTGCACATGTGCCTACACAAATATACTGAAAGGCACAATGCATACCATCTCTTCTCTTGAGCGGGAACAAACACACACCTTAGTATCTGTTTTTCATCTTTTCGTTCTCTCCTTCCTTTTCTATGCAGGTTCCCTTACAACCCGGCCAGTCTTTCAAGTTCACAGTCCTGGAAACTCTGGACCGCATCAAGGAGGAATTCCAGTTCCTCCAGGCACAGTATCACAGGTACGCAGACAATGTTACATTGCACACATACAGATACGGATTTGTTGGTATTTAAAACATTTTTGTGACAAATGTCAATGGTTAACTTTCTAGTTAAGAAGTACTGGTATGAAGAGTCACTCTTCCATATGTTGTTTTATATCGCATATTCTCGACACTAAATGAATTAATTATAGTCCATTTCACAGTCGTAAACATTCCAGATGTGTCCCTGTTTATTTCCCGTTGCAGTGTATGTAAATGACATAAACTGACAAGAAGTAAACATGAAGCCAAGCTGTTGCCTTGCAATGCAATTCTGTTGAAACAGTCTATAGAAACAACACATTGCGTCATTCAGATCTGTGGAAGTCAGTGTCAATAAATGAACCAGTAAACACAATATGTCAGCGTGCAAATGCTGTCCTTTAATCGTTATTTCTTTATTAAGACACTGAATACAACATAAAGAAATCTCAAAACTTTACAGACTTCTGTAACTCGTAATTTTTGCCTATATACACATTGCCTTCATTGTAGTAGGTACACGTTTACAGTAATTAGGGACATCAGTAAGGGATCATGTCTTGAACCTACATTCACTTCACCAGTGATACCTCAAATTCCCTTTTTATATTCACTGTCTGTTCTGGTGCAGAGATTTCCAGTTTCTCATTTAGTAATAATACAATTAAACATCTATATTTTATTGTATCTTCCATTATTTCTGCTAATTGCTCTTGCCATCACACTTTGTTACAGTATAAGTTGTGGGTAACTGAGATAGTTTCCAACACATTAAAGGAAATGCAATGCAATGCAGTTTAGGTCTTTTTTAGAATTTTCTACAGCTGGAGGTCACTGATGTTCATGTTATCATATGGCTGACCAGAGGTGACTTTGGCGAAGAGAAATAAACCATCCAGCCTCTTGCTCACACCTCAGTGGGCAGGCTGAACAGCCTGCTGCGATACAGCAGCACTACTTTACAGCTAGGCATTGGACTGGTGGCTCTTAGTGACACACACACACACACAGATCTATTCACGTGAACATTTAATGTTTGCATGATGGCAACGACACTACAAAACTACAATTTCCTGCATGATACTACAGCTTTTCCTTGACAATATCAAGCTCCACTCCACCTTTTCTGAATATTGACCTGATAAAGTTACTGTTAAACACTCTCACCTCAACTCGACAGGTTAAACATATGGTCAGAAGTATTGTAGAAGTGTATCACCATATCTGAATGTGTACAAGCGAATATATTATAGAATGTGTGAAAGTTTAGAGCGTTTTCATCAAATGATTTAAAATGCTTGAATGTCAAAAAACATCTGAACAGATTTAATTTTTGTTTCCATCCGTAGCTGTTCCTCGCTGTAAACATGCAATTTAGTTCTGTGTGAATTGTTTTCACCCACAAACAGATAGATGTATAACTGCAAGTCTTTCATGTTTAACTGCAAAACTTTTGAGCAAATCAAATTTATGCACTCACACATTGGAAATTGTTTGTGAACAAATGTTTTTCGTTTGTTCACAAAATGTGATGCACAGCTACAAATCTTCACACAGATGTTATTTTTCTTACAGAATCTTAAATCTATATGGTCAGATGTTTTTCACAATTTCAAACCTTGAATTTCCTTGACCAAAATATTTGGACACATTCACACATTTAAATGAATAATAAACATGTATTCACACAGTTAGATGTGGTGATACAAAGCTACAGTACTTTTGACCATATTTAGTTTCCATAGTTATGAAGCCTTTCTTGAATAACGTGTGGATTTTGAGAAGTTTGCAAGTTTTGTCCTTCTTGACTAATGCCATGCGTTTGAAACACATCTGAGTACTTTAATATAAGTAACCAGGCCTCATGCAAGATAACAACAGAACACAACAAAAATGCACAAACCCGACATGAAATGTGATACTTTGTGAGGACCTGGGCTCAGCAGCAGAACTCTAACATAAACCCACCAATGTCCACATGATGTATATAACTAGACACACTAAACACAGAGGGACTTGTCAAACTAACCCCACATGGAGGTGTGATGAATTGCAGTGGTGAATAAGACGCACCCTGCTGGCAGTTGCTACCATGAAGGTGATATTTTTCAGTGTCACTTTTCGCAGTAATAGGTAGCCCGACTGTGTGGCTATAGAATACTCTTTTGCTATCCTTCCACAGCCTCAAACTCTGTGTGACCTCTGCAATATGCAAGTCCTGTGGAAATTGTAGTTAATTTCCATGGATGCAAATACACCATTTAATCCGTGTGTGTCCTTTTTCGTCCTCGCGCAGCCTGAAGCTGGAGTGTGAGAAGCTGGCCAGTGAGAAGACCGAGATGCAGAGGCACTACATCATGGTGAGTCCAATCAGAGCGTTACCAGAGCTGTACGGTGATTTGTTAGTCTGACTGGGCCACTCAGAAACTCTGAAAAGAGTCTGATGGGTTCCTTATATAGGAATTACAATCAGGGGAGTTGAATCTGTGCTTTTGATTAGCTGGATGGACTTTGTTTAGTGTCATTCAGAAGTGAAAACTCTGTTTGTCTCCCCACTTCTCTGTTGATCCTCCTGTGTTCCTCTCAAGATTTCGCTTTCTCTCCTTCACATCTCTGTTTTGACTTCTCATTTCATGTTCTGTACGTCTGTTTAATAGCCAGCAGGTCCAATATTGTCATTTCAATATTTAAATCATATTGAAATGACAACATCCAGTGGCCTGAAAACAAGTTTGTAATCATTAATTCCTTTAATACCTGATCATTATTTAAAAAACACATTTTTGCAGTGGTACATAATCATGAATGTCTGTAATGAATGCAGTTTTGAATTTCCATAAGTTACTAAACTAGTACAAAACCAGTATTTTTCTCTGTGTGTTTCTTGCAAACTATTTATCATGCTCACTCATACCTCTCTCTGAAACCTACTTGTCTTTTCTATATCTCTTTCCATTTTTTACCTCCTTCAGACTCAGTCGGTGTCTGTCTCTTCTTCCTCTCTCTGTTTTCTCCTGTGCGCTAGTAGTTGGAGCTCCCTCTGCGTCGGTGTGTCTGTGCGACTAAAGGCTCACATGTATCGTAAGCCTTCGTCTGTGGTACAAAACCCACACAGAGCCGACCAGAATACGATATGCACCATCTGCTAAGCTGCTCGCATTTCATAAACCTGGGAGAGCAGGCGGGATCAGGGCCGTAAGCTAGATAGACACACAGATGGATAGACAGACAGACAGACAGAGAGAGAGGGAGAGAGGGAGAGAGGGAGAGAGGGAGAGAGGGAGAGGGAAGCAGATAGACTGACGGATAGAGTGTGAGAAAGAAAAGCATGAAGACAGGGAAACTGGCAGACAGACAAATGGATTTAGGAGCACACAGACAGACAGGCTGAAGATAAATAGATAAAACAGTCCCACACAAACACACAGGAGACACCACATACACACACATTTGTTCTCCTGTTATGAGGACGTTCCATTCAAGATCTTTATTTCTTTCGCTGCAACTAATCCTAGTGCCTAATAAACCCAAACATGTCAAAATGACATCAATATTCAAATATAATAACAATGTAATTAAAGAAAGTGTTCGATAACGGCATCATGGCTATTAACTACTTTGCAAAAGTTTTTTTTCTTCTCTTTTTACTGCTAATGACATAATAATAATATTAATAATATTAATAATAAAGCCAATCATTGTAGTAGTTTTTCTTATACATTGTAGTAGTAAAGTAAACCTTTCAGTAAACAAGAAGCTAACCTCATCAGGACCAAGACAATCTTTGGAAATTAAGACAAATTCAATGTTCTTTCAATTGTGACTTGTTACCAAAGCTCAATTCAAAGTTACTAGTTAGTCATTCTGCATACTTATACTTAAAGTTACTAACCTTAACTGATTATGAAACAGTCTTAATTTAATACTGATCCCACTATATGATCTAAGTAAACAGACTATTTGTGGGAATATAGTTTTTTATTAAATTATTCTTAATGCCTGTCAAAATGAGCCCAGGTTTAGGTTTTTTAAAGGTAAATCTGAGGCTCGGAAACACTACCGCTTTTGTCCACAGGGACCGCAACACAAAATGAAAGTTCCTCGTAGTAGCTTTAAATAACAACATAATCTCCTAGTCACATCCTCAACCCAATACATGGACGTCTTTATTACAAATTAAAGTTATTGCATTTTTCGGCAGTTGCATAAACGCAATACAATTTTGAATAATTCCCTGTACTGTCTAATAACAAGTCCATATCATAGCAAACACTTTCTTTAGGATTCTAATCTACGCAAACATGGACCCTAAACTGGTCTGTTAAAAAGCAGAAGGACTTGTCAAACTGACCTCATTTCATAAAAATATCCTCGCTTTGCTTTTCAAAGTTTTCCACTTGCCTAATCTCACGCACTCCCCATTTTAGCTGTGGTTTCAACAAACAGTTCTGACCATCATCAACCTGCTTCTTTGCAAATGCTCACCACTCCATCTTACACAATAGGTGCGGTGGTAGACCGGGGCAATGGATGACATTTGATCAAACTCTGTGCATATTAAATGGCATGGCCTTTGTGACCACTGCGCCATTGGTAAACCAAGGAGGTAGAGAATCAGTACAAGAGTATCTTCTGTTATATGTTGTATTTCAGTTCAACACTGAGGTCTAACAGAGGACTATGGCGGGAGGTCAGGGAGCTGCAGGTGCAGATGACACATCCATATAGGTTAGCATGGAAGATGGTTAGCCCTCCAGGCCAAATCATTTGAATTGAGGCTCACTGTGGTGTAGTGGCTAACACAGTGCTATGCTACTTCATAGGCATGGCTGAGAAAGAGAGGGAAGGAAAGAGGGAGAGAAAATGAGGGAGGGGAGTGAAAGAGAGGCTCAAAGGGAAAGATAGCTTGAGAGAAAAAAGGCTCAGCGAGTGTCAGACAGAAAAAAAAACAGGGCGCTGCTGAGGGAGGGAGGGAAGGATACAAAGGGAGGAAGAGTGAAAGCGAATAAAAGAGGAGAGGGAGAGAGTGATGGAGGCAAAAGAGAGAGATACAGAGGGAACGAGAGAGTGGGAAAAAAATGCTGAAAAGGAATGAGAGAGACTAAATGAGAAAGAGAGGGGACAGAAATGCAAAGAGGAGAGATGGAGGGTGAAAAAAAAGATGCTGAGAGAGAGAGAGAGAGAGAAAAGAGAGAGAGAAAAGAGAGTATGCAACACAGAGTCCAAGAGAAAGAGATATGAAATGAAAAAGAGAGAGAGAGGGAGAGGGTGCACGCATAGACACGTAAATAATGTGAAGCAACAACGGACTCGCTGCGCCCACAGAGGAGATAACCCAGAAGGCTATATTTAGCTCGTTAGGCCTGTCATCCACACTGAGGCTGGGGCTCTGCTCACCACGCTGCACTGCTCCTGCCTTTACTATTCATCACTTTTAAGCTCTTTAAATACAAGGGTGAGGGGTTGGGAGGCAGGGAGATGGTTGTACAGGGCGATACAGGGCTGATGCATGTGGATTTTTTTACTTTATTTTAACGCTTTAACACCCAAGAAGACATGGCAATTTAGAAACTGTTTTATTTTTCTGTACGGTGGCAATCTAAATGAGTTTTTTTGCAATGTGATTTTTTTGTGATTATTCGGAGAGACTGTCCTTCCACAGAAGACAGCGCAGCATCAGTCGTTTGAGCAGACGCCTAACAACATGTTTACGTTAAAGTGACAATGACCTTTCTCAGCCGTAGGGATTAAATGAGTAAGTAGTGTGAAGTTGTTACTGAGCCACAAAGTCCCATCCTGGTATATTCTACCCCTTTGTTAGGAGATCTGCGTGTTAGATTTTGACACGGGAGGCTGCTGTTTGCCTCTCGTTTCCTATGTTTGTTAAGGTAACAAATGTTTTGTTTTGAAGTTTTATTTGGAGGGCTTGTTGCGTTTGGCAGAGTCTCTATCTTTGTGTTTTCTTCAGAGGACGTTTGAGTTTGTGTATGTACTGCGCCAATGTTGTCGTTGTCTGATCATCAGTCATTCTTGTCATAACTCGCTTACCAAGGCAATATTCTTGTTTATATCACAAATAAACCATGCCCGCTTCAGGCGTAGATTCTCCTCAGAGGCAAATACCTGAAAATCTGATGAATGAATATATCCGTTCTTTTACATTCAAATGTTAAGAAAGTGCTTCCAGAATTGTCTTATTTTTGTGGTAAGAACCACAAGCAGTCATCTTATCCAACAGTAATTTAAATCACATTTCATGTAGTTTTTGCCGACGTTTTATGTTAAAGCAAAGAGGAGGTGTTAATTTCACTCTTACTGTTAGATATCTCTCCTTATGGGATGGAACTTTTCAAAGTTGAAAAAGTTTGTTTTTCCACACATTTGCCACTTTAATTCTATAGCTGGCAACGGGTAAGTTTTTTTTACACATTTCATGCTTGGAGAGATGATGCCATAACCCTCTCAAATTGCTCCTGTCTGTGTCTGTGGAGTGTTGCTACAGTTAAACAGCAGAGCCAGGTTTGGGGGAGTGTATTTGTATGTTTGGCAGACCCGCTCTCTGTATCTTTTTGGATGGAATGTTTTATGTTGGCTGCTCTACTAGACTGCCTCATTTCTTTGTATGTGTAGAGAGACACTGGCAGTGTGTAACTTTAACGATGGCTGCAAACACACGCACGCACAAACATCAAGTCACACACATTGAGTGTGTCTGTAGGTGTCTTGCCTTTCTCCTCCTTTTGTATTTATAATTCATGGCTCTCAGATTTCACTGCTCTCCTGGAATTCCACTGGGTATTTTTAAATAAGGTTGCATTGTAGCCCCGGCTGATCAGGGGGCGTAGATGTGTCGGTCACATGCTAACACAAAGTACAAACAAGCCTCCCACCCGGAGAGCTGTGTTCACCCCTGCTGGCCTGAGGTTGAATCTAACAAAGACCAGATACACATGCATGAGGCTCAGTGGAATGTGATTTAAAGACAAGATAAAGCAGCTGCCTTGCATCATAAAACCCCAAAAGTCAACATTGTGATCCAAAAACGCCGTTATGTCATCTCTCCTTTTACTCACTGCCTAGATGTAGTTTATTATTTAAGAAAACTTTGATGATGGCCTTATGATGTGTTGTAGTTCAGTTGCTGCTCTGGTTTTCTAAATTTCTTTCTTTCCAGGATTACGTGTCTTCAGAAACCTTTTTTTCCTCCCAGAGTCTTGACATTTCTGCAGCCTTCGTCTCATTCCTGTCAAACACGAGACAAAACTCTTAGGGGGGAGTGGACTGTATAAAAGAGACATGTCTGCTGGAGGGTGACAGCTCACAGTCAGGAATCACATTAGGTGGCCTCTCCATTGCTGTG